ATAGTTTACAAAGGTTTAATAAAGCACACCTAACTAACCTGACAGAGGGTTAATTTAAAAAAAAAAAAATAATAATACAAAAAATTTATAAAGCTCACTGCTAGATTAACCTGTTTCGTCATTTATGACTGTATATTTGACTGTCCAACCTCTAGTTGGATTTGTTCACTTTCTGAGTAGTAGTAGGTTTACCTAGAAAAACTATGATAGGTTATTATTAATCTGCATATATATAGGAATATATAGTTTATATAAGATGATTGATGTTAATGCCAAAGAATTTCATTATCCAAGATATTAAGTTAATTCTTAATAAAAGCACTCATATCTAATACCAGTTATGATTTAAAAAAAAAAAAAAGAATTGAAAAATAAATAATAGAACACTTATTTAGAAATTCAATAACCTATTCTAAAAGATTAAAGATTTATAAAAAAACAAATAAAAGATTAATAAAATCTATAGTCAAAAAATAAGAAAAAATTATAGTGATAAACAGAAAATTATTTGAAAAAATAAATAAATAGATCAAAGAACTATAGTAATAAGATCAAAACCTTCAGGACTTAATTTGTAAATATTTATACAAAAATTAAATTCAGAATATCTTGAAAACTAATATAAAATAAGATCAATAATTATAAAAAAAACCTTAAAGAAACTTTGCTAACATATACAAAAAAATTTTATAGAAAATATTTGGAATAACCATTGTACTGCAATAATTAAATAAGAGAAAACTTTAGGTATAATATGAAAAAACAAAATAAGTAAAGTGTTAAGAAACAATAATATTATTACTATAATAGACTTTGAAAAAGAAGACAATTCACTTAATAAGAATAATATAAAGGATTTATACTATAAGAATGTTATTCAATTAAAAGAAATTATTGAAAGATAGATAATATAGAAAAAGAAATGGTTTGATTTTTAATCTGCTGCAAGCATTAAACTTCATAGTTAAAGGATAATTCAAATTATGAAAGAAACAAAATATTATCTCCTAAATTATATTTAGAGAAAGAAATTTTGATTATGAGTAAGTTGATATGTAAAAATTATTTAATTTATAATTATTTTCATTAATTCACAATAAAGACAAGTCAAGTTAGTCTGATGGTAGGTTAGAAAAAAAAAAAATCAATTATCAAGTAAAAAAACCTTGTAATATTGTTTGATAATTCAATTTGTTTCAATAAAAAATAATCTTGATAACATAATTGTAAATTTTAAATTTTTTTTTGAAATTGATTTATATAAAAAATAAAAATAATACTTTTATTACATTAAAATTTATCAAATAGCTGTTTACATATATACAATAATCTTATAAAATGAAAATAATAAATTTAACTTAATGGTACAGAGGACCAGCCACCTATAATTTTGCATTTATTTGTTTTGTTTTCAAAGCTTTTTTAATAAGCTCAAAAATTTTCATACTTGTACCCCAGCTTGCAGAAAATCCTAGGAATTTAATTATATAAAAAAATTAATGAATGCAAAAAAGATAATTAAGCTCTTGCTGAAATATTACCATAAGAGTGATGACCATAGTTGTGGCAAACTATAATATCCCTTCCTTTCGAATTTTTTCTCACTTCGCTTTCGATCCTTAATCCACCAGTTCTGGATGGTCTTCTTCCAACATTATTGCTGATTATTTGTAAGTATTCCTTTCCCAATGTCAATTCAGGGCAAAGTGCTGTACAGCGTTGAATGATTGATTCGGCAGTTTTTTGTTCAGGTTTCTCGTTACTGAATTTGCGAAGTAATAAAATTAAGTAAAATCGACCACGCGTGAAGTTTAATCGTAACCAACAATATCATGAAAAAGTAATTACTAATCATTTACACCCATAACTCCACCAAGGACCACCACACCATCTTGACGAGGAATGATATAGGTAATGTAATCGGTACCTTAAAAAGTAAAGAAGTCTTAGAAATCAAGAACATTGTGTTCCGTAAATATACAAATTACCTTCTCTGGTAAAGTCGTTTTTAATATGCGGAGCCCAAACGATTACAGTTTGACCTCTTGTAGGAAATACAGCTTTGTCTTCTATGCCACCAAGTGTACGCGCGCCAATTCCAGTACAATTTACCACCACATCCACATCTTCATCGAGAGCCTCATTGATATGAGAAAGATGAACCTTTTTTAATTTACCACCGGCATCGATAAACTGGGTTTGTAGCCAACGTAGGTATTTGGGCACATCAATGGTAACTGATAGGCATTAAATATTGGATATATTTAATTGGTTTAATGTAAGAAAAAAAAATTCTTACTTGTTGTAAACGAATATCCATATTCTACGCCGTTAGGAAGTTTCCTTTGCGGCAATACCTTAAACTAAATCAAAATTCGTACATAATACTTTGCTGTATAAAATTATTATCGTTATTAATATTTTAAGAATCAGTAAGTGCCTATATAGTTATCCTACTTTTGGAACTAAATTCTTGAACCAAGGATCGCCATCTATCTTTTGTTTTTTATCTAAATAAACAACGCTTGGTGAACGCATCAGTCCAGTTTCAGGAAAGTTGGACAAATTCCATAGAGTCTTGAATGAAATCGTCTCAAATTCTAAATAAAGTATAAATATTTATTGATTCGAATTTCTCGCTTTTTCTTGTTTACTGTATCATTAAATGCATACTGGAAATGTCTGGATCACAAGTGAGTTCGGGTCTCCAGTCAGCGCCCGCCCACGGACTTGAGTAGTTAACGCTCGAATCGCCAGGAAAATGTTCGGCAAGAATTCTAACTTGATAACCGTTTCTTTGAAGAATCAGAGCAGTTGTAATTCCTGAAACTCCAGCCCCAATAACAATTACTTTGAGTTTCTGAGACATGTCAACACGGAATGTTCGGCTATAAAATGGTTAACCGTCAATTTTTAAAATATTTCCAAATCTGTTAGTTATGTTATCGCGTAATCTCATTTGCTGCCGAGATATTTTTTGATTTTGACGTATGATAAAAGGAAGCTCAACATTAAGGAATTTATTTTTACAGTAGTATAAGAATTTATAGATAGAATTTATCGGTAATCAGGTATAATTAATGTTTTGATCTCGTTTTATTTAATATTAGAAAAGATTATACTTTGTTCATTAAAATAAGCAAATTCTTGTTTAAAAGCTATTTAGGTTAGCTATAATTTATTTATTTTTTTTAGTCCTTTGCCAGGCTAGATACAGTATGTGCTTTATTAAATGTCTATATACTATACATTATAAATGTTTTACTAAAGTTAATCTTTACCAGTAATAGGGACAATAAAATATTAATCTATATGAATTTAATGCAATGCTTCTATAATTTCCTAATACAGTAACTTATGAACAAGATTTTGACTTTTTACTATGACAAATTTGTTGAAGTCTATCTTGATAACATAATTATTCTTTTATTACTTTTGAACTCTATTGTTAATATATTTTAGATACTTTTAAAAAAGCCTTTTTAATGTTGAATTTTGAAAAAACTTTTTTTTTTTTTTTTAATATCATTATAGCATATCTTTATTGAGATATTAGAAATATTTACAATAGTTAAATGGATTATTCATATAATAACTAACTTATTTTTATATATTATTAATTAAAAAACTATACTATTTAAAAAATATAAAGAGTTTATCATACTAGTTTGAATTAATAAAACAAAGTTTAAACTAGATATTCTAAGTCAAATTTAGGAAACAATATTTTATACTTCTCTAATAGATTAGTTATAACCTTTATATATTAAGATTATTATTTATAGTTTGTTATTATAAATTATTCTGAAAAACAATAAATTATTAAATTACATACTGGAAAAGAAGAAAAAAAAAAAAGAAAACAATTTAAAGTTCTTCAAAAAGTTCGTATTCAAGTAAACAGTCTTCTCTCAAAAAGGATTTTTCTAATTGAAATATTTTTCAAACTTTAAATCATCTGGAAATTTAACTATTTCTAAATATAGAAACTATAAAAAGAATATTTGATGAACTTATTTTTTACTAATATATGAATTTATTTATTATATTACTAATGTCAGTATTATATTATAGTAAAGTTAATTTAACTAAAATACAAAAACCTTTATAAAAACTTTGCTTAACTAGGATAGAAACTTAAAGATCTTGGCTTTTTTTCTAAAAAAGCTTTTTTATTACTTGAGAAACTTGTCAAAGAATAAAAATATTCTATTTCATACCTTTCACTTGTCTTTTGATATTATAACTATCTTTCTTGAAAATTTGTTCAATTGAAGAATATCTTTTTTACAAACTTTTCTTTCCAATAATCAATAATATTATTAGAATGTATGAATATGACCAATAGAAACTTTTTTATTTTTAAAAACCAATAACTTTTGTATTAGTCAATTCCTTTAATAAGAATTTAAGCTACTAAAAATTTGGAATTAGATTGAGATAAATAATAACTATAAAAGTGAAAGTTCTAAAAAGACCAAGATAGTTAAAATAGGAGAAAATAAGTTTTTTTTATATAAAATCTCTATAAATCTCTTACCTCAATAAAAAAGACCTTTAAGTATTTCATTGTTAATTTTTTTTTTTTTTTTGCGAACTTTTTTGCTATTGATATTAAAGTATTACTTGACTTTTTTTAATTACTAGAAATCAAGTTTTTGAGTAAAGGAATTTGAAAAAAAAGAGAAAGTATAGAAGTAACTTTTGATATTATATTTTAGATTGTTTAATGAAAACATTAAGACTTTATTAGCAAAAAAATATAAAAACTTCTTGTGAATATTTTTTTATATATAATCAAAAAATTAAGAAAAAAATTAATTTATTATTTATAATTTTTGAATTTTGAAAAATACTATTTTTTTTTATTACTAATAAAATTATTAGATTATATAATTAACTGAAAGAAAATCTAATCTAATAATAATAAAATTGTAAAAGTTAAAAAATTTTTAAAATCTATTATTATTAAGTAACTAAAAGAATTCTTTAAACTTGCTTCTTATATAGAAAAACTTCTGTTCATTATTCATTCTCTGAATATTCTTTTGAAAAATAATATTTTCTTTGAATAGATAAATAATAATTAGTAAATCTTTGAAACTTTAAAGCAACTTTTGATTTTATCTTTTGTCTTAAGATTTTTAACTTCTTCAAGATTTAATATCTTTATACTAATATCTCTAAAATTGGTATTAATACTATTTTAATATAAAAAATGAAAAAAATATATATATAATTGTCTATATTAATTACAATTTCAATAAAATTAAGTATAATTATTCTATTATATATTAGAATGTCTTATAATAATATAGACTATTTAATATATTTCAATTAATATCTATAAACTTAATATTTCTTCTTAATTACTAACTTCTTACTCTTCAATAATTGAAAATAATCAAATTAAAAAAATAATGTGTAAAATGAATACTTTATTTAAAATTTTACAACTTTATTCTCAAACATAAAACTGGAAAGAAATATAATAATTTAATATTATATTTAGGATATATGATATTAATAAATAAATTTTTTATAACTTCAAGTCTATATCTATTCAAAATTAATTCAAAATCAACGATTATAAGAAAAATTTCATAATAAATAATATTCAACACAAATAGTTAATACTCTGAATAATAATATTATTTATCTTATTAAAATAAAAGATCTATGTTAATAATATAATAGTTAGTACTCTATAGGTCATATCACAAGATTCTGATTCAAGTTCTTTAAGTAGCAAAATTAAAATTCTATCAATTCTTGTTGAAGACAGGTAATCCATCAATATAATCTGATAGTTGATATTACTCATAGTTGATTATTATCTCGATCAAGCAGGTCTATAATTAAATAATACAGTACTATACTTTTGCATTATAAACTTGTTGTAATAGAGCTTACAACTAGTAAAACCTAATTTATATCTGTTAAGTTTGTAGATTTTTAATTAATTAAGAATAGATTCTAAGCTTAAAGAATTGGAAATTTTGAAAAAAGAATAGGTCTTATACCAGTGGACTTAAAACCATGAACAAATTTGAATAATGCAAATTATTAAAAAACCTTAATAGAAGAGAAAACTTATATACTATATTAAAGTATCTAAAATATTTGATATAGATTAGAGTATATAAAATAGTTTAATAATCAAACTACTCTATAAAAGTGATTTAGAAAAAATGAAGAGAACATCATATATTTTAACTATATTATACTAGGTATAAGTTAATTATATATTATATATAATATGCAATATAATTGTTTATTTACTATAAATAGCTTATATAGTTTATATTAATTTATATAAATCAAAGTGTATATGATATATTATAAAGATATATCTGTGAAAAATATATTTAATAAAGGTATAGAAGCAAATTATAGACAAACAATATGGATATATAATCAATCACATATTGATTTCAAATCTAGAATATTTTTTTAATGACATGATACTTTTTAAACATATATGTAATAAAGTTATAATAAAAATACACAAAGTTTTCAAATACAAAGTCAGACTTGCATACATAGTTTCAAATAATATTCTTTTTAATAAATATAAGTACAATAGAGTATAGAATAAAGTTGTTGAGATTCTAAGTTTAGTCAAAATATCAAAAAGTAATTTACAATAGTGATCTACAGACAATAAAGTTAGCAGTTGGAAGAATTCTTATCTAAACTAATAATGAAGCAATGAATTACTTTCGAAGTTGTACTTAAAGTTTTAAAAAATTTAAAACAGAGATCAGTGAGTTAGATAATGATTTAATTTTAGTGAAATATTTAATAATATAAAGTATATAAATATTTAATAAATAACATATACCTAGCCTAATTAACACTAGTTGAAATTGTGTCATTCAGCAATTGAATTATTGTCAAATTTGATTAAATTTAATAATAAAAATATTGTCAAATTTTTTTCAATTACTACTACTCAGCATATTATTATTTTAGCAATAAAGTGGCAATTAAAAATTTGGCAATTAAAAATTCGATAATCAAAAAATCCAACAATCAAAAATTTATTAATTAAAGTTTAACAATAAATTGTCAAAAAATTTATTAACAATTTGTCCAATAATTCATTAAAAATTTAATAAAAATTTATTAAAGATTCATTATAAAATTATTTATTAATAATTCAATAAAAATTTGACATTAATTTATTAATAATTTGTCAAAAATTCATCAATTATTTATTAAAAATTTATTAACTATTTATCAAAACTATTTATTAAAAATTCATTAACAATTCATTAAAAATTCAACAACTATTCATTAAATTATTCATTAAAAGTTTATTGATCATTCATTAAAAATTTGATAACTATTTATTCAAAAATTTATAAAACTTGCAAAAAAAAATTATTTATATTTATACTGAATATTATTTAATATTATTTTTTTTATTTTTTTTATTTTTTTACTCTCTGTCAGATTAGTTATGTATGCTTTATTTAAACATTTGTAAGCTGTACATATTAAATGAAATGCTAAAGCTAAATCTCTAACTAACTCACTTATTTTGGTTATATTACCTCTCTAAGTGTAACTTCGGAAGTGATTTATCATTCCGTTAGAGATTCAGGTAAAAACCCTTTCAACTTCTAATATCATTGCCTGCAGGTCACTACTGCAGATCACTCTTTTGAGCTCTGACAAAGATCAAAACCCCAACCACCTCATATCATACTTCACTTCATTTAATAGGATTTCTTCTAGCTTCTTGTCTTCGACTTTTTTTTCTTTATATATCAATTTCTTACTAAGTCGACTTTTGGTAATTTTGTTCTTTTTTTCCTGATCTCGTGGATATAATGATCTTTTTATCTTGTCGTATTTGCAGAT